TTTCAATCCTATTTCCAAAGTTCAGGTTGTATGCCATTTATTATCATAGAAATGTATAACTTCAATTACAAACAACACTAAAATTTACAGTTTCTAGAATTTCTGAATCTTCAAAGCCACACACCCACCATAGGAAGAATCTTTTTCAATATTTTAACAGATCTTATTACATATTAAACCTGTTCATTAACCTAATTCTTTCTTATATGGAGCTTCCATTTTTGCACATTGTGATAACTTGATCATATTATTTGTGTACAAAATTCATCAAACTACTGTAAGTAAAGGTTTGCCTGTTTGCCACTGAGATAAAAGAAACGTTAAATGAAGTTTAACTTGTATACAAATAGGATAATTATGCTAACTTAGAGAGATTTTCTTTATTTTGTTTCCTAGAAATTGACAAAAAAACAATGTTTCTTTTATATAAAATGTAAGCATAAACGTCTGAAAAAACTGCACTGGTGACACTATATGTTGTAAAATTGATATAACACCCATAAGTTTTCAGCATAGCCAAGTCTTCGCTAGCATGATCTGAATGACAAACTAATTAAAATAAAAAATTTTATATTTTGATGAAATTCTATTAGATAATTATAAACCAATTATAATATCTATATTATATTAAAAAAAACATGTTAAAATGATTTTATCTCTCTCTAGAAAATATAAATAAAAAACATTTAGGATTTGGTCGTATGCATAAAGACAAAATATATTTTGTGTTTTTGGAAAGATGAAATTATTTTTTATTTTTTATTTTTTAAAAAAAAGTTTCAAAGAAAACCAAGTATTTTTAATAACGAATTTGTATCTTACAATATAAGTCTACAGCTGATATTATGCAAAATAGTTGGAAAACATGCAAGGACCTGAAAATATTATTAAAATGCCCTTTTGAATTTTTTTTTTTAAATATGTTTTTAATATTTTAATATTTTAATATTATATTATTTATTAAATGGGTTGGACCCGACCCATCCATCTATGCAGGACCCAGTCAGGTTGGGTTGGGTCGACTAACAGCTCAACATACATTTTTCTTTTTCTTTTTTTACTTGGGTTGGACTCAACCTAGCTATCTAGGCTAGGCTGAAACAAGTCCAACCCGATTGGGTTGGGTTGGGTTAGGTTGATTGACATCTCAATAATTTTTTTCTATGTTGGGCTAAGCTGGAACGAGTCCAACCTAATTCAGTCAGATTGGGTCTACTGTTGACCTAACATCCTTCTCCTTCTTGGTTTTTTAATATTGGACTTGATTTGGTCTAACTATATGAGCTGGGATGAAATGACTTCATCTTATTATTGGATCTGCCAGCAAAAACCAGTAATTGCAGGATGTGAATTATTTCATATCCTATATGCAAAAGGAATGCACGTGGGGGGAGGGGGTAAAGGTGAGGAAAAGAATAAAGTTACCAAACGTAGAGGTGGTGTGGCAGTCGCTACTAAGAAGTCTGACATGGGAGTGTGGCAACTGAAGAGGCTAGGGTGGAGAGGCTAACGTTGCTAGAGAGTAAGAAGTAGAAACTAACGGGCTTGCCAAAGATAGTTGTTGTTGTTAGATCACGACAGTGCTAAGGGAGGAGCTATCGGTTACAATGGTGTTAGGGGAGAGGATTTGGTCACTTGGTGGTTGTTTTGGTAAATGTAGGAGGTGGTGGCAGTGGGGAAAGAAAGAAAAATACGTTGAAAATTCTTAAAGAGGCTTATTTTATTCTCACTTTGCATTCTGATTTCTTGATATTTAATGTTTGTAATCCACCTCTATTTACAAAGAGTGGAAGAGGGACACTTTATTTTAATTGGGGGACAAATCTTGACCCTTGATTCAATTAGGAAGGTTTTCAACCATTGACTCAAATGAGCAATCATAAACAGACAAGTTGGTAGCTAAATGTTGCTTAAGTTGACCTTTTTGGGATGACACCGCTGCAGCCATAGGGGTAATTGCCTTGCAAGATCTATTATGGGGTGTAGTACAATGTGGTGGTGTATGGTTTGCCCATTTTAATAAAAGAGAAAAAGCATTAAATAATCCTAAAAAATAGTCATCCGAGAAAATTTCAATCGAGTTTCTAGAATTTGACGTCTTTTTCAAAGAGATCATTGATTATAAATTTTTTTAATTTAACCCCTAATTAATCATAAATTTTGATTTTATTGTAATTTTACTTCTGATTTCAATTAATTAACTTTGTAAAAATAAAGTTTGGTCCTCTAAAATTTCAATCTTCTCAATTAAGTTCAAATTGGGCTCCCAAACTTAATTTTTACTAATGAAATCCCTAATAAAATTAATTTGACTCATTTAATCTATAATTAAGTCCTTATACGTAATTAAATCATTTAATTTGACCCAAATTCATTATCAAACATAATTAAACTTTTAATTTGGCCCATGATTAAATCAAATTGGCCTATTAAAAATTTAATTGTGTCCCTAGACTTAAGTTCTATGCAGATTCATCCAATAATTATTTGACCTTGAATTCACTTTGTCTTTCTAGTCTTAGGTACAATAAGGGTATAATTAAACTACTAGTCCCATCTAAAATTGCACCTTGATTTTTCTATATATTTGAAATCCTTATCTATCTATTTTTTCTAAATCGCTAGTCTTTTTTGCTATTATTATTTTATTTTTTTATTTTTTATAAGAAAAGAAAAAAAAAGATAAATTTTAAGAGAACAAGCTAAAAAAAGTTATAACAGTTGCCCCCTACTTACAACAGAAAGTAGGCTTAATAAGGACTACAAAGAATATATTTAGCCATTTAAAAAGATTATCAAAGATGACTTTTCCCCATTTAAAATCAGTAAGCTTTGCTCTTTTTTGTTCATGTGATCATATAAAATAGTTTTTTATTATTTATTCAGCTAAAATTTAGCTTTGAAGTCATCTTATGGTGTTTAGGTTGTTCTTCGGGTTTTTCTAGGTGTAAGGTCACTTTTTTAAGAGATCATTTGAATTTTCAAAAATTTTCTATTAGAACAAACACCAATTGAATTTTGTTTTTATACTAAAACTTTGATTTTTTCAGAAACATTTGTTAAAACATAAGATCATACATAGTTTTTTTTTAAGAAAAGAGAATACATCAAAGAATTTTTGGTGCAGTGGTTATGTGAATCTATGAAACTTTTGGGATTCCTAAAAGTATAGGGTGTTTTTGTATAAGTGTATTATTTGCAAATTAATAATAATAATAAAGGCACATCATGAACACAAGAAAATACATGATTTCATTGAAAAAAAAAGGGTTTATTTCACAGAGAAAGTATTGTGGCATTATCAGTCAAACTACCATCAAAACTAAAATATATCAAAAAATCATAGTAAATCAAAACACTTTTGTGGACATGATCAAACAGAAGCAATAACTTTTTAAACACAATAAGCATAAACTTCATCTTCCAATTCTAGTACATTTCTTCTTTGATCAACCTCCTCATAAAAACGCTAGTAGGGATCTCATCTATATGATGCGGACAGAAACTGAGTGTCTTACTCAAATAAACTAGCAATATGGATAATGCTAGCCTTTAGAAACTCTAATCTTTTTTGGAAATAAGCGAATAATTGAAAAAATACTATAAATTGATGTAACACTCATAATCAGTTGCTATAAACTTATATTTTTATTTAATAATTAAGAAAATGTATTAGGGATTGAGAAAATAACAATTTTTTTTTTATATATATAAAATGTTCACATATCATCCGAAAAAACTTCAATCATATAAAAAATATGTTGTAAATTTGAAGTACCACTCATACTCATATACAATTTTTCAATAATGTCAAAAAATAATTAATTTAAATAATATATTTTTTAAATTTATATCATATAAATAAAACTATTTATTTATTTATAAAATCAAACCAAGGAGATTTATTTTCATTTTCGTCATGAAAATGTGCATACCATGGAAATAACTTCATTATTTAATGAAAACTATCCAAATAAAAACGAGTTTTTTCTCATCGGGGATTTTGATTTTTAAAAAATGAAAATAAAAAAATAACAATGTAAAAAAGAGAAGGAAAATAAGAGAGGAAAGATGGGCTGGGTGTGCATTAGGCCCACGCGGAAGGGTCTAAAATAAACAAATACATGCCCTTGGGCCCTGTACGCCTACCTTAAAAGAAAAAATGAAAAATAAAATATGAGTGCTAGTATTGTTCGGCAGCTGGATTGTGGCTGGCGAAGAATTGGGGGCCCCGGG